GAATAGAATAGAATAGAATAGAATAGAATAGAATAGAATAGAATAGATTTCTTTATTGGTCAAGTGTGATTGGACACACAAGGAAATTGTCTTTGGTGCAAATGCTCTCAGTGTACATAAAAGAAAAGATACATTCATCAAGAGTCAAGAATCATAAGGTACAACACTTAATGATAAGCAATCAAATCATACTAGGAGACAGTCAATATAAATTGTAAGGATACAAGCGACAAAGTTACAGTCATACAGTCACAAGTGGGAGGGGATGGGTGATAAGGGGTGATGAGAAGATTAATAGTGATAGTAGTGCAGACTTTGTAAATACATGGATAGTGTTGACTCGTGCAGTATACAGGTCCTCCATGGAAGGCAGGCTGGTAGCAATTGTTTTTTTCTGCAGTCCTAATTATCCTCGGAAGTCCGTGTCTGTCTCGTTGGGTTATCTAGCTTGCAACACTTTTACAAGGTATGAAACACTCTTGGCTGAATGCCCAGAAATTCAATTAAGCCTATGAAGAGCTTTCCCCGGCTGCTTGTCTTTCTGAGGTTATCGGGGGCTCTCTGAGCGGCGCAGAGTCTTAGCTAGGGGCTCTCCTGAGCCCCTGCGAGCCCCCAGCAACCCACCTCTAGCTTCAGAGGAAAATCAAGTATAAAAAGGTACAGGCTTGCCATCCCAATTTGCCAGCTAGCCAGGAACCCTTGAGCTGTGTCACTAATTCATCCCGCCTTCCTGAATTAAAGGATTCTGCTTTCTGGCAGCTTCCTTCTGAGTCTATTTCTTCTTGGCATCTCTTTGCTGATTGCTTCCCAGCTGGGAACGAACCCAGGAAAGTTCTTCCGACAAGTCCTTCTGATAAGTTGAGCCAGTCGTTTTCCATATACGGTTCTTGGGAGATGCAGCCCATCCACGGCCAGAAGCCCTTCTTGTACGTAATGCACGTCTAAGAAGTCAAACTTTGCTTGCGGGGGAGGGGCACCAATCCTTGAGCCAGCGGTTCATTTCGAGGAGGAGGAGGAGGAGGGGGAAGGAGAAGAGGGAGGGGGAAGGGGTCAGGGGGAGGACAAGGAGGGGGTGGAGGAGAAGGGGGAAGGGAGAGGGGGAGGGAGGAGGGGGGAATGGAAGGAGGAGGAGGAGTGGGAGTCAGAATGGGAGGAGGAGGAGACGAGGAAGGAGGAGGGGAAGGAGGAGGAGAGGAGAAGGAGGAGGGGAAGGGAGAAGAGGGAAGGGGAAGGGGAGGAGGAGAAGGGGAGGGAGGGTGGAAGGAGGAGAGAGGGAGTATGGAAGAGGGAATGGAAGGAGGAGGGGAAGGAGTGGGAAGCAGAATGGGAGGAGGAGGATGAGAAGAGGAAGGTGGAGGAGGAGGAGGAGGAGAAGGAGAAAGGGAAGAAGGAGAGGAGGGGAAGGGGAAAGAGGAGGAGGGGAAGGAGAGGAGGAGGGGAAGGAGAAGGAGAGGAGAAGAAGGAGGAGGAGGAGGGGGAGGAGGGGAAGGAGAGAAGGAGGGGAAGGAAAAGGAGAGGAGGAGGGGAACACAAAGGAGAAGGAGGAGAGGAGGAGGAGGGGAAGAGAAAGGGGAGGAGGAGGAGGGGAGGGGAAGGGGAAGGAGAGGAGGAGGAGGAGGGAAGAAGGAGAGGAGCAGGAGGAGGGGAAGGAGAGGAGGAGGGGAAGGAGGAGGAGAGAAGGAGGAGGGGAAGATGAAGGAGGGGAGGAGGGGGGAAGGGGAAGATGAAGGAGAGGAGGAGGGGGAAAGGAAGGGGGAGGAAGAGGAGGGGAGGGGAAGGAGGAGAGGAGGAGGAAGGAAGGAAGAAGAAGGAGAGGAGCAGGAGGAGTGGAAGGAGAGGAGGAGGGGAAGATGAAGGAGGGGAGGAGGAGGGGAGGGGGGAGAGGAGGAGGGGAAGATGAAGGAGGGGAGGAGGGGAAGAGGAAGAGGAGGGGAAAAAGAAGGAGAGGAGGAGAAGGGCTAAACTCAGCTAAGTTTCCCTCTCAAACCACTTAGGAGCTGCATTAATTGAGGCGGGGGCAGAATCCTTCCCAAAGGCACCGAAGAGCTGTTGAGGGGGCTCCTTTCGTGGCTGAGACGCCCCTCCGTCCATCCCTCCTTCCCTGGGCAAGGAGGGGGTTCCTCTCCTCCTCCTAGGGTCTTAAGTTGTGCAGAGACACCCGTTCTTCCCGCTCCTCCTCTTCCTCCACCAACCAAGAGAAGCGAGACTTTGCCCGAGCGAACCAGTCCCGCAGTTTCGACTCTGGAGTAACGGAAAAGTCAAGAAATGAGCGATTATCACAAGTTACCACGCTAACAACTGTTTTACATCTTGCCCTCGATTTACAACCATTCGTTTAGTGACCATTCCAAGTTACAACGGCACCGATAAAGAGTGATGTTATCTCCCCTTTTTTTTTCACACTTACAAATGTTGCAGCGTCCATGATCAAAATTCAGACGCTTGGCAACTGACTCCTATTTACGACGGTCGCAGTATCCTGGGATCACCTTCTGACTCACTTAATATCTGAAGTGATTCACTTAACAACCGTGGCAAGAAAGTTCGTAAAATGGGGCAAAACTCAGTTGTTTTGCTCAGCCACAGAAATTTGGGGCTGAATTGCGGCCATAAGTTGAGGACCACCTCTGCAGAATGTTTGGGAACGGGGAAGTCCCCTCTTCCAAACCCTCTGGCAGCTAGTCCTCAATTTCTGACCACAATGGAACCTGTTCATCGCAGTCACAAGACATGACAGTTGTAAAATAGATAGATTGCCTTTAGGACCTTTTGTGCGGCTGTCGTTAAGAAAACACCACGGTCGTTAAGCAAACCCGCAGTACCAAATTGAGATGAAACTATCATAAAATAGGGCAAATGATCGCAGAAAGCTACAACCGATCAGGGTCTCAAAGGTAGAGCGACTATCACAACTTCAGAACTGGGTTGTAACCTAACAAAAGGTCGGACTTTTAAGTGATCGGTCGTAAGTCGAGGACTGTCTGGTTTGAGAAGGAGAGTGTTTCAGTTTGATGGAGCCACGCTGCCATCTGCTGGCGGATAGCAGGTAAAGTTCACCCAGGAAGAAGAAGAAGGGGGGAGGAGGAGGAGGAGGAGGAGGAAGAGGAGGAAGAAGGAAGAAGAAGAAGAAAGGAGGAGGAGGAAGAAGAAGGAAGAAGAAGGAAGAAGAAGGAAGAAGAAAGAAGGAAGAAGGAAGAAGAAGGAAGAAGGAGGAAGAAAAAAGAAGGAGGAAGAAGAAAGAAAGAAGGAGGAGGAAG